TAATATCAACGAGTTTTGATTGGAAGCGAAAACCGCGTTGTTGTAGGAGTTAAATAGCAGGAATGAAATCATTGTCCATGTGCGTGAACGAGCTGTTGCAAGGATGAGGATTTGGCGTGGATGCATGGACATTTCACCTCGATTTATTTTTATTCACATCCGGAGACCAAACTAGAACCGAAACGAAAGTCATTAACCAAACACGATCGCATTTCCATTCTTGCACATTTAAGCGCTAAATATGAAAAGACATCCAAAAATAAAAGCGAAAGACATATGCAAACACCAATTTGAAAACAAGAAACCAAACAATTTATTCGCCGTAAGAAATAAGCTATTACGAGATGAAGAAGCTGAAAATATGCAACAACGATTGAAAGACACGAAAGAGGCGTTTCATTGGTGGGATTAGCTGATATCACCTTATTTCGAGCGATAATCTTAAAATTCGGGATGCAAACATCCCTAATTACTGAAAACTACTTACTTCAATGAAGATAAAAGGTTCCAACTTGGATTCCAGAATAAGCAAATCTCTCTCTTCGATCTCCTCGCGAGCGAAAGTCAACAGCTACAAAACTGCTACAGACCGAACCGGTTTGCACGTCGATGGATCACGCAACGTTGCGTCACAAGGCAAATAATATTACAAGGTGGGGAGGGGGCAGGAGTGGGGGCGGCTGGGTCCGGGTATGTATTCTTCAAGTTGCAAAAATTAATGATTTTCCCGCTCAACATCCTGTTTTATTGGATCTAACTATCCCATATGCGATAATTTTCCCCCAGATATCCTGCATCTTTTACCTTAATATCCCGTGTCCCGTATTGTGCAGTCGCTCTTCAGGCAGACTTTTTTCAGCTTTTTTTGTGAATCCGTCCTCGCCCGAGCAGTGCCTTGAGATAAATCCCTAATTAATTAATTAAGTCCAGTTACAGTTAGCTCTCCCTTCAACAACTCACTTCATATCTTCATCTTGGTGTTCTGAGCGTATTTTGTGCATCGTTCTAGCCAAAAATCAGAAAAATTTATAGGTGTCGTGGGCTGCTCTTATATAGCTTAGTGTCCTGTGGTTGTGTTTATAACAGCGAGAAGCCTTGGACGGAGTGTAGTCAAATTCAACATGGAGGACTCACGCAATATTAGTGAACCTCTTGCGGCTAAAAGCTCCCAACTAAATGATATTACGACTTCACCAGAAGAAAATAATGTGAAAAAATCTATAACGAGTGAAGATAACTTTGTAGGTGAAAAGACAAGTTTTATCGAGAACGAGAGTCGAGAACAAAAGCCAGCTGATGAACACACATCTTTGGAAGTGGAAAATGGAACGGACATGTTAGATCCAGTTTCAAGTGGAGAAAAAAGTGAAACGAGGGAAACGAGTAGTAATAAATTAAATGAATTGACAACACAGGAACAGTCTACAACAGAAACACCGAATAGGGTTTCCTTAGAATCAGAGAAACGCGAAAATTTGCTCTCTGATAATATTGATCAGGAAGAGAGTGCTGCTAGTACCAAGGAAAACCAACAAGAAGCAAATCCACCGGAGCTTTCCCACACCCAGTCTGAAATTAATAGCAGTCCCAAGAGTTCACCAGTTGAACATGACCATGGAAGTCACAGATCACCCGACAGAAAGAGCAAGGATGAATACAGGAAGATTAAGAGTGAAGTGACAGGGGAAGGAGAAACATCAGAGAGTGAAGGCGAAGAAAAAGATTCTGATCAATCTCAGGACACTTGGATGGATATTTTAGGGAATGGGCTACTCAAGAAAAGGGTAATTTCAACAGACACAAATCTTTGTACCAAGCAGGGGTTTCATTAAGGGCTGCACTGTGCAAATTGACTGGCTAGGATAATTATTTTGCCCACCTGGTGTGGCCATCTGGAGGAAAGTTTTTCTCATAAAGAATTTCATTTCAAAAAGTTTTGCCTGTCTGTGGAAACCAGTTGTCCTCCTGCTGAAAACATTAATGAAACCCCTGAACAAGTAGCTATATTCTCGGTTTTCATTATTGGCCAAAGTACAGTCCATGAGAAGCTTACACCAAAGATTAAGAAAATGTTGAAACATCATAGTTAAAAGGGGAATATCCATGCTGAAGATCTTTGTGTGACCTATGCAAAATTCATGCTTTGATTTATTAGGAAGGGGGTAGGGGAGTGTAAGAGTGGAACCTGCAAGTGAGCAGGTGGAAACTTTGTGGGAGGTATAGGAAAAGAGGCTGGGGTAAGATTCCCAAGGTGTCAGGAACTGCAAAATATTTGGAAAAAAATCTTAGTTTTGTACTGGGAAAGCACCCAGGAGGTGTGAAGGGATATAGAGGGGGAAGACACTCACAGGGAAGGGAATGAACAAGATAAGGATGGGGTTGAAGCTGAATAATGAACGCTTAAAAACATATGACAAATGCAGAAAATGCAATCCATTGGTGGGCGTCTACATTAATTTTATCATGTGTTCTCAAAAAATGCTGTTGTGTTATAGTATACGGCATGTGTCTTTAGATCCTCTATGGTCTAGGTTTATATGCTAACCACACATTAACACATTAGTGACAACGGGCATCTCTTTCTGGGTTAAATGCAATAGATTTTAGTGGTGCAGTGTTAAAACATATAAGTATTTCTGAAGACTTCTAAGGTGTCCTGTGGTGACTTGTTAACACTTTCTAGTCAATTTTCTCTCCGATTTACCAGGAATTCTGACTCTACTAGTTAAAATGTCAAAAACTTGTAGCATGAAGCATCATTTTGAATTAAGGATTATTTTTTCTTGAATTGTTACAAGTTTGTATATTAAAGAATTTACAAAATAATAATAATAATAATAATAATAATAATAATTGTACTTATATAGCTAGCGCACATATCCTAAGTTCATGGCGTTTTACAAACTTAGAAAAAATATACAAACAAGTAAAAAATAACCAAAGTGAAAATGATTAAAAAAGTAATGGTTTATTTAGTTTGCTATCCCAGATTTGTGATTCAGGTAAGAGAAATTTAAGAGACAAACAATTTACAACAAATGATATGAATAACCATATCCTCAAAACAAAGATTTTATTATCTGTTCATTAAACAACAGAAATGCTAAAACTCTTCCAAGTTAAAGGTAAATACAGATTGGACTGTAAAGTAAACTTTGAGACCCCCTCAGGCAACAAATAAGGGTATAATGACAAATGTTAACATTATTTTGGGAAGTGTACAGTCTAGACGACAAATTTTTAAGTAACTGTGTCTTACCTTTTGCGCAGGTGTTACGTCAAGGAAAGGGTCAGGATACTCGGCCAGACAAGGGGCAACGTGTTACTATACAGGTTGCTGGCCGTACAGAGGATGGGACAGGTGTTGATTGGAACAGCAGTCTCGAATTTATCCTTGGAGAAGGAGAGGTTATTCAAGGTATTGTGTACACCAATGATGCTACATTCATTTTGCTTACCTTAGTTTGAAGCCATCATATCACAAACGTTAATTACTGCTTTCCAGTGGTGTGGAAATTCAGAAATAGTTTTCAAAGTGACTTAAAATATAAGTGCTGCTCACTTGGATGGGTTGAATACAGGGAAGACACAGAATCCTCCCGGTTAGTGCACTGGAAATTGGTAAAAAAGGAAAGGAATTAAATGGTTGTCACTGGCTAAAAATATGGTTATCGGACATTTCGGCCACTTCTGTTGCCTTCTTCAGCAAAAGATGGAAAATGCAAATGTTAAACGGTGTCCTGCTAGAATATGTAATAGGTGTGTGATAAAACTAAATGAGCAATAGTCTCTAGAGTATTCTTAATGAGTGTAAAAATTCTTAATGCCATTGTACATGTTCGGTAACGCTATGTGTTCGTTTATAGCGTTCCTGTCTCACAAGGAATGCCAAGTTTCAAGAATTAGTCTTTGTTTCCATACTGATGATCTGTCGACAATTTCAACGTTCTCCAAATCTATTTGGTGACCGTTGAGCATATGGT